GAACCCCAAGGTTGCATCTACCAAGCGATCTATCCTAGGAAGTGGGAAGCTATCCTATTGGCAGGCTCTTTTGAAATCGATGTAGTCGATGCACATGTTGCACTTTCTATTGGATTTCTTTACGAGCACTAGATTGGCAATCTAGCTCGAATATTGGACCTCTCTCACGAAGTCTACTGAGAGGAATTTCCCGACCTCCTCATCTACTATCCTTCACTGTTCATGGGCAAGGTTCATTTTCCTCTACCAGATTGGTCTAACTAAATGATCAACATTTAGCCTATGAATAATGACAAAGGGGTCTATATCGGGCATATCAACTATCAACCAAGAAAAAATACCTAAATTATAAATTAAAAAAACTTACCAATTTAAATCGCAAGGGTTCCTGAAGGCATGCTCCAATATGCACTGTCTTCATGGGGTCGATAGTAAAATCAGGATAGCTTATTGCTGGAAGGGGAAATATAAGCCATCCACTCCATCTTCCCAAGCACTTTGTGACCAAGGCAGCTCGTCCCTACAAAATGAAAATATGAGTCCTTTTAGATTAACACATGCATACTAGAGCTTTATATTGTTATTATTATTTTTTTTCCTTTTGCCCTAGTGGACATCATTTCCAACCATTTCTTTCAATGATTGAATAGTTGGTAATGCATTATTGATTTTGCTTTAAATACAAAAATGACTACCATATTTGTTTCCAAAAATAAAATCATACTCTAGTTATCATATTTTGCCAAAATCTTATCAGGACATATCAGCTGATGCATGTTGAAACTTTTAAACTTCATAATGCCACATATGCCTTAGCCTCACATCAACACACATTCTAAGTGCCACTCAATTACAAGTTTAAGTAAAGCAATTATATTTGCACACATATATATGTAGTGTAAGAACTGTGTAGTGTGTACATTTTGAGTGGAGTTCTCTTTTAACCCAGTTCAATTCATCATTAATAAATTTGTTTTCACTTAGATTTTTTTATCTATAATTTTAGCATATTTCTGTGGAATATTCAGTACTGTATGTATAGTTTAACTTATGATAATTCAGGGGGTAGAGAATCTGGCATAAAATAAAGCTTAGGTAATTAAAAGAAACATCCCTCAATCTATAAATTTTTTACATTTTTCTATTTTCTGCAACCTATAAATTTTCCTGTATTTTTGTTATTTATACAATTTCTGTGTTTTTCTATAATTTTTTGTGTTTTTTTACAATTTTTATTTTCTGATTTTGTTTTTCAATTTCTATAGTTTCTGTAATTTGAAAATAATTTTGTATTTGAAAGTTCTACATTTTTTGTAATTTATGTGTCTATGTATTTTATATTTGAAAATATTCTTTTGAAACTTTTCCTTTTTTCATGTCTAAATATTAAAATAGTAATATATTAACACCCGTTAATTTATTTTGTATATCTTTTATATTTTTCTATGAAGGTTAAAATGGTAATATATTAACACCCATTAGTATGTTTAACATCAAGTTAGTGACATGGTGAGGTTTAGACATTTTGAAAAGTTGTGGTGAATTTAAGAGAAATGCTAAAAACTCTTGGTAAGTTTTAGACAATTTTCCTTTCTATAAAGATTCTGTAGAAACAAATCTTTATAGAAACATCCTAATTAATAGTTCACACTTCCCCCTGAATTTTGAAGAATACCAAACCATTGGTTACCACTTTTATGATACTGTTGGATTGATTGGTTATTAGATCTTTTTTAGGTATCATGTCTTTCCAGTATCATACACTCTTTTCAGAATCTACTTGCGTTTTGATTTTCCTTTGCATCTCAATGTATCTTAATATCCGAAATTCTCAATATATCTCTTAAAATCGCTTCTCTGATACCTAGCATATCCAGTACTTTGAACCATGACCATAAAACGCCAAACATCATCCAAATGAAAGAGAACAATTAATTATTAATAAACCTTGAGAAAAAGGAATTTCAGAAACCCAGGAATTAAAATACAACTTTCAGATATTTGAGGATTGTCTATGACTATGAGTTTCTGTTTAGCAGCATTGAACATCGGCTCAGGCCACTGTACATGTAGATTCATAAAAGAAACAAAATGAAAAAACAACACAAAAGGCTTTCACATGAAGATATGTACATCAACAAACTAAAGACGCTCTGCACAGGTAGACAGTGAGTTTCACAATACAATGATCCTTCTGGGTACCCGATTTTGCTAACTGATCTGTCATTGCATTTACCTCCTAAGGATCCAATTCATTTGTACATTCATGATACCCATAATTTCTTTAGCCTCGGCCAAATAATGTGCCAGGCCTCCATGGTGGATCACCATTCTTTTTGCCCAACCATTTTATAGTATTTGCAAAAGCGCCTTCAAATTCAATGGTTAAGAAATGCCCAGGTTTTATGCTATTCGGAGACTGATTAACAAAGTAGCCATAGCCCAACCTTTTTTTTATAGAAACCAAGAGGGGCTACACAAGACAGGGGGTAGCGTGTCCCCATAAATCAGAGTTACAAATACAAGCTAGATTCCAAGGAAGATCACTAAGATTGAGACTTACTGTACCCTGTAGGGACGAAAAGGCTTGATTGGCAAGCCAGTCTGCCGCTTGCTTAGGTTCCCGATAGACATGATTGTAGACTAAGTCTTTGTTTGCTCGATTCTTCATATCCAAACACTCTTCAATGATGTTCCAAAGGTTCCGGGGGGGTCAATGAGTCGTTTCAAACAAGAAATCATGATCAAGGAGTCACCTTCAATGATGATGAAATGGTTTGGGAAATTCATTGCCAAGTTGTGGGCCTCCAACACGGCCCAAGCTTCCACCAAGTTGATTGTCATAGAACCTAAGTGGTAAGCCTTGTAATCTACCACCTCACCCATAAAGTTCCTAGTTATGACTACAACTGAGCACAACCCATTGTTTAACCGGAACGCATCGAAGTTAATTTTGATAGTACCAATTTTTAGAGTTTGTCACACAACATATTTGCATGACTTATGGGAATCAACCCCATTGGTCTTCAAATTGGTTTCATAGTATTCCGAAAAGGCCGATAGAACTCTTTCAATCACCACTTAAATAGGGGTTATGCATTATTAAAGGATTTTTGGTTTCTATTTTTTCAGATGTACCATAATAAAAATGCACACTTTTCTCTTTCATTGTTTCCTCCATTTAAATTTTTCTTACCAATTTTAAGCCACCAATCTTCCAATCAAAGATTAAATCCTGAAAGACCCTAGCCATAACCCAACCTTTAATATCAGGAAAGCCACTCAGAGCACCATATACCCAGTAAATGCTACCATCTCTCCTCCGGATCACCCTCCTATATATCCCAGCCGCACCCGGATTTTTTTTTTTTTTTTTTTTTTTTT